TTGGCTTAATATGTTGAATTGAGTAGGAATTCATGCATGCATGTTCATATTGTTGAATTTTGAAGTTGTTTCATGAGGATTTCTTCATGCATGTTCATATTTTGAGTCTTGATCCATGAACTCACCATGTTTTGAAGTTAAACATTGCATTTGATCTTATTTTGTAGCATTGGTGTTCCTAGGAACCCATGTATGTGTTGAATTTGCATTGTTCTTCATGTTCGTGAAAACCTCTTTGAAATTTGTGTTTAATTGAACTACCTTTGGGTTTTGATTTCTCAAATTGATCTTTGAAACATGTCATATTATGAGTTTACAAGTGTTTTCTAGAAAATTAGCCCAAAAGGATCGAATTTGATGCATTAAAGTTGAGTTTTGAGCTTGAGGTTCAAATCTGAAAATTCCAGATTTTGGACTCACGCTCGAGCGAGGAACTCCACGCTTGAGCGTACGCCTTGTGTTCATGCAGTCCGTTCGAGCGAGTAAAGTGGCGCTCGAGCGTGAAATGCGTGTATCCAGCACTTTGCATGTGTTTACAGTCCGCTCGAGCGAAGGAATGCACGCTCGAGCGAGGACTTGTGTCTCACGCTCGAGCGAGGGTCGAGCGCCCGTCGAGCGTGAATTTCACTCATCCAGTACTTTTGAAGTCCACTCGAGCGAGGAAAGTCACGCTTGAGCGGAGATCCTTTGTCTGCATGTCCGCTCGAGCGTAGAAAGCCACGCTCGAGCGAGACCCCTGCTTTCTGAAAATTCTGAAAAGTGTTTTAAAGTGCATCTTTGCATCCTCATTCTATCTTAGGCACTCATAGGCCTAATTTAAGGCATCTTAGTGATGATATTGATGTAGAACCACACCGAGGTAAATTAGGGATTAAGTTATTATTTCCCAACTGTGTAGCTTAGTATGTGTTCATTCTGTAACTGTAGGGTTGGCATCCGAGGACGCTCTAGCTGTTTATAGCCCAGTGCTCTGTGAGTAACAATGTTGTAAAGATATGTTCAATTGAGATTATTTCCTGAACAAATAACTGTACTACTTTATGAAATGACATTATTTACTAAGTGAATATATGTCCTATTTGTGAACTGTATTCGTGGCATCCATAGCAATTTACTGTTACTAAATTGTTACTGCTACTGTTACAGAGATCTCTGTCAGTTCCCATGTTTGGAACCACTACTGTTTACTGATATGATGGCCATCATTGACTGCTCGGTCTGTTAAGACCAACTATACTGTTTTGCTATTGGATGTGCCACATATGACTATTATAGTTTCTGAATAACTGTTATGACATGAATTATGAGCTACAAACTGAATGACTGATATACTGATAAATGATCATTTTCAATACTGAAAGGACATTCATTTTTAACCTCTTTACGCATATGTTATTCACTGGGTTTTAGCTTACTGTTTATATATATATATATATATGTAGGTGTCCAAGCATCGGATCAGATCTAGGAGCGTTGGGTTAAACTCCCTTTTTGTCAAGCCAACCACTGTGCCTCACTGCGAGGTTCCATGTACTGCTAAGCCAAGGCTGCTTCGGGGCGTTTTAGATTTCCTCATTTCTGTCTCTGTATTGTATAGACTGTATAGACTCGTACTGTACTGTTGTGGTAGGGACTTGGTCCCTAACCTGAATGATTGTATATGATGTACATATATACTGTTATGGTTTGAATGTGTATATGTTTAAAAAGTCTTTTTGCATACAGACTGTCACAGCTCATTGGACATCTTTTATTACTGATTTGGCTTCTGCCAGCCCCTGTACTCTGTATTACTGTCTTACTGATAAGCAGGCCTTCGGTAATCACGGATTACTGGCTGGTTACTGTGCTAAACCCATAGGGGCGGGTTTGGGTCGTGACATTGGTTCTTCTTATGGTTCTTGTTTTCTTTTCTTTTCTTTCTTTTTTGTTGTTGTTGTTGTTGTTGTTTTGATTCCGATTGGTGTTCTTCTTCGAGAAAGTCATCCTCATCACTGTCTAGAAGTCTTTTTTTTTTTGGTTGCTTTTGTTTGTTTTTTTCGCTTATTGTCCTTTTTGTGGTCATGTTTCTTTACTGAAGAGTCTGTTGATGTGTTTTGATTGATATGCAATAACTGTATTTCTTGTTCAGTTGAGGTTAAAGCACTTTGGTCAACCTGCATTGAAACAATGTGGCATATATTAGTAATACTGTAAAATTGGTTAGTTTCATAACATGATTTGTACTGTGAGTAATGTGAGTTAAGTGTTGAAAATATATTGTTTGAAACTGAAAACTTTTACAGTTTTATAACATGATTTTTACTATAATGACTGTGAAAGGATTGTTGAATAGATTTGTGCGTTGAAACTGCAAGCTTTTGTAGTTTCATAACATGAGTGATGTTAAATAGGTGTGTGTTTTGAAACTACAAACTCTTACAGTTTCATAATATGATTTGTACTGTGAGTAATGTGAATTAAGTGTTGAAAATATGTTATTTGAAAATGAAAACTTTTACAGTTTCATAACATGATTTTTACTATAATGACTGTGAAAGGAGTGTTGAACAGATTTGTGCTATGAAAGTATAGAAGAGTTTGAATACCTTTTCAAAGTCAGTAAGGCTGATGTGTTTCCACTTGGAGTGCATTTTGCCAAGGTTCCACTTCATAAATCTTGGGAAGCTTTCTTTGTTGGATGGTCGGAGGAGTTTACTGTGCTCACAGTACCAGTACTGTAAAAAAAAATTAAAATATGTTAGATAGTTCGAAATAGTTGGATGTTTGATATTTTTTGTGTGAAGTAGTTTTTGTAGTGTGTTTACCAAGAGTAACATGACGCATCCAGTGACATGCCTTGGGTTGTTGCTTGCATTTGTCATTGAATTCATCAGTGTGTTGTTTATTGCCTCAACCCAATTATACTTATTGATGTTGTTGAGATTGTTAACATAGTTGAGAAAACTCCAACTGAGCGTATGGCCTGTTGTAGGCATTAGAAGTTTCAAGTACAAGTAAATGGTGATGACCCTTGCAAGATCTTGACGATCATTGGTTGATTTTCTTTTTTTTGTTTGTTGAAACATTTTGGTCAATGACTTGCCATCCAATCTTTTTTATTGATTTGCATTTTCGTTTGTAAAATGCAAGCTCAAAATCCTTTGGTCTTGCATAGGATTTAGTGGTGATGGTGTATTCTCCACAGTCGATACCAAAAATGAGCCTCACATCACTGTTTCTGAGTTTCATTTCTTTTTTGTCAAGTATCAATGCTCTTTTTCTTTTGTTGCAGAGTGTTGTCATTTTTGCTACAATGGAATTTTAGCATTTGCTCCAAGAGGCTTTCAGTTGTGTTGAGGAGAGAGCATTTATAATGGGCCAAAAAGGGATTTTTTGCAGCTCTGTCTGTTGGGCTGTTGTGAATTTGACCCCCTTCAACAGTTTGATTACTGTTTCGATGTTGGAACGGTAATTAAACTGTTGGACTTTCTTTCCAGGGACTGCTCCTTTTTTCCCTTTTGATGGCTTGGTTTTTGTTTCAGGAGTTGATTGGCTTTCTTGGAGTTTTCTTTTTTTGGTTGGAGGAGCTTTTTATTTTTTTGCTGGCTTTCTTTTGTTTTGTTTTTGGTGGCTGGAGGTGTGGTTGGTGTTTGTTGTGTGGGTGTGGTCTGTGGTGTAGTTCTTGGGCTTTTTCTTGTAGGTAGTGTGGTTGTTTTGTGGGTTTTTTTGGTTGTGGTGGTTGGGTTTTTTGTGGAGTGAGAGATTTTGGTGGCATTTCAGTGGATACAGGTGAAGGACTGTCAAAAGAGGAGATACTTAAATCCCTGATTGGATTTTTGGGCATATGGGTTTATTTCTTCCAATATCTTCCAACAGCTATTTTTGAAAAAATGAAAGCGACAGCAGGGCATGAGTAATATAGTGACAAAACTGTATGATTTTACAGTTTTATATGCAGTTTAATATGAAGTTATATCTATTTGTTGTTAATAGTTACAAAACTGTATAATTTGACAATTTAATTTGCATTTTATAATAAGTTATCTATTTGTTTTGAATAGTGATTAAACTGTGTAATTTTACAGTTTCATTTGCAGTTTGAATAAATTTAGATATGTTACTTGTAGAGTGATGAAACTGTCTGATGTTTCAGTTTTATAAACACTATCAACAATAAGAACAACCCATTGTATTTTGTAAACAATAACAATAACAACGAGAAGATTAAGTATTCAATGAAATGTAGCAACAATATGAAGAAGAAAAACCAATATTTAACAAGAAGAAGAAGAAGCAAGAATAACAAGAATAAGAATAAGGAATTGAATGTGTAAAAACGGGGGATTAGAATGTTTAAAAACAGGGGACTAGAATGTTTTAAAACAGAGGATTATATATAAAAGATGGTTTATACATTTTGAAGTATGTAAAATGTGTTTTATAAGGATTTTTTTTATGAAAGTGTTATTGAAACGGTATATACGAAATATGAAAGAATAATGTACAAATTTAAATGAAAAATAATAGGTGAAAAGAGATGTTACTTTTTTTTTTTTCTATTTCTGTGAATCGGAAGTCAGGAACTATGAAATTTCTTCAGAGTTGTGATGGTTCTTCGTGTTGTTGAGAGTTGCCAATTGGAGAAGATGAACGGCTTGGTGTTGTGTTGGTAAGAGTCGACGATTGGAGAAGATGAATGGGTTCGTTTTGTGGTTAGGGTAGGGTTTTAGAGGTAGTGGAGGTGAACGGTGGAGAGTTGAAGGACTAAGAATGCATAGTCGAGTGGCGGAGATGTAACAGTATACTCATCAGAATAAGATAATCGTAGGTAAATATTGCGCGCGTATGAATTAGATAATATATTGTGAGTATTTTCGTCTAGTTGATAATTTAAAAACTTAATAAAATATTAAATTTATTTTGAAATTAAATGAGGCACAATATGTTGAGCTTGGGCCTTTGAGTCGGTTTTCCAAAATAAAAATCATAAAATATAAGCCCATGGCCCGATCAAGCAATTTAGAAATGCAATCAACAGTATCACTGTAACCATTTCTCTCTCTCTCTCTCTCTCTCTCTCGGGAGGACAGACAAAACAAGAACTATGTCACTACCAGCAGCTGTGCATGTGCTAAAACCTGAAACCCCAAGACTCTTCTCTCTCCTTCCCACCTCTCTATTCACTTTCTCTACCCCTCACTGTCTCTCTCGCTCCCAAACCCTAATAGTTTCACGAAAATCCTTCACACTCTCAACCTCTTCTTCACGCTCGTCCTCATTCCAGTTCTCTCCCCAACACCAACAACAACAAGAAATCGATTTTCACGACGAAGACGAAGAACATGTCGTCGGCGATTGTGTCGTATTCGAAGAAGGCATATTCGAAGACCCTTTTCTTCAACCGAACTTCGATTCCGATGCGAATTTCCCCAAAAAGAACACTGAATCTTCTTCTGTACAAGTTAATCCCCAGGATTTGATTCCGGAAAAATGGAAGGAAGTTCAGGCACAGATCAATATTACGAAGAAGGAGAGGCGAAAGATTGCTCAGGAATTGGAGTTTGGTAGACGTGTTGAGAAGAGAAAGCAAGGATTGATTCCGATAAGGAATGTGGAGGACTATGTGGCTTATAGGGATGAAAAGCTATCGCAATTGAAACCTGTTGTTCTTGATAGTCCGAAATTTTCGGATTCTGGTGACGAAAAGGATGAGAATGATGTCGGTAAATCCAGAGAAGGTTCCAAGAGTAGCAGCAGAGTGGCTCCGAGGAACCCTAAATTGGCTGTTTATGGTGCTACTTTGGATGATATTTCGGACTTCTTTAGCACGAATTATGATCCTAAAGCTGCCAAAAATCCTCAAGGTAATTTTTTTTTTGTTATTAGTTTGCAATTTGTGGTGTCTTCAGCATGCTAATTGGATAAATTTCATGATTGTAATGTTCAATTTATTTATATGGTTTCGAAGTCGGCATATAAGTGTGTTAAATTCTAGACTAATTGCTAACAAAGTGAGGAATGGAGTTTATCTAATTTCATTGTGGTGGGGTTAGAAATCAGAGTACTGTTAGTTACGTGGAATTATGCTAAGTTGAAATTGTGCTTCTCTGTAATCTCTGACCTATAATATAGCTACTTTGATTTTCTAGAACTTATCAAATACATTGCCAACTTGAAGTTAAGTCTTTGTCCAGTCCATCCCTCCTAGGCCCTAGCATCTTATATTTGATTTTCAGTTTGTTGACAGTAGCCTTGATGATGAGGCTTGCTTATGCCTCTACAATGATGGGGTTGCATCAAAATATGAACTAGTATACAAACAATACTGCCTCTCTACCCTGACATAATCTATTTGACTGTCGCCTGTGCAATGCTCTGCACGTTCAAAATGAAGGCTTGAGATCATTTATGCACTTTCATGGTTAATATTTCTGTGTGAATTTTCTGTTGGGTTGGATTCCAAAATTGCAGGTTATGTAGATTTTGAATAACATCCTTCAGCTGTAACTTTATATCCTTATATTTTAGGGCTTAGACTCTGTTCAAGGTTTTGTCATAATATAAGCAATTCTAGAAAATTGATTTAAATTTTGGCATTCAAATCCAAATCCAAACCTTAACTATAACGGATAGATAAGGGATTCTGCACTCTAATAATCTATCTTGCAACTATTGCAATATGGGTTTGTGTTGAATTCTACTTCCAATCTTCTTGTTAGGAATTTTTATTTTTATTTTTCACTTATTCCCATTTTCGAACACAAGCAGTGTACGTGGAACACATTTTATGAATGTGAGATAATTCTAACTTTGGCTACAATTTGATATAGACCTGGGATTAATATGTCTTTATGCACATAACTTCCATTTTTTCTTTTTTACACTTAACCTTCTATCTTTCCGATGGTATATGGAAAATTCCTTTTTACGTGGTTTCACATACTTTCTTTTGAAGTTAGAATTTACCTGGTAATTTTGATTGTATTTTGTTGAAATGACATTAAGGCTGTTGGATTTGGGTATCTGATATGATTATATTAATTGAGCAGGCCCTCGTAAGTTGTTTACTAAGGAGGAGAAGGTCCTACTAAATAGGCGGATACCTGAGGTGTTGGCTGCTACCTCTGTAAGTTTCATAACATCTCCGAACAGTGTCACTCGTCATTTTTTTCAGCTTTTTATTTATTTCATGATTATTTTTTCCACTTCTGCATAACTACTTAATGTGCTTTTTGTTTTGAGTTGACTGGATGATGTACATGGTGTAGGTGAAATGCTTTTTATGCTTGCACACTCTCTGTGTAGTTGTAAATAGGTGGTCTAGGCTGACGCTGTAGTTATTTTCAGGACAAGTGGCTACCTCTGCACAGCCTTGCAGCATCAGGAGACTTTTACCTTGTCAATGCTTTGTTGAAACATAATGTTGATATCAACAACCAGGACAAGGTCTGTAGAACGATTACTTTTATATTACTGTTCATGTAGTTTGCACCTTTTTGTCTTACTCATTTATTTTTTATAAAAATCTTTTGTTTCTACAGCATGATACTGCCTCTCTCTCTCTCTCTCTCTCTCTCTCTCTCTGCTTTTATCCTTCTTGGTTTAAACTCTGGTTTGCCATTTCTTTCCAGGATGGACTGACTGCACTTCACAAAGCAATGCTTTCCAAAAAGCAGGCCATTTGTAACTATCTTTTGCGAGAATCAGCAAATCCATTTGTTCGGGATAAAGTGAGCATATATTTACCTGGACTTTTCATTTGTGTCATATACCACAGCTAAAGAATTACATTGTTTTCAGCTTGCATAGAATTTGGCAATGACTGTTTGTATGAGCTGCCCTTGAATACATGCCAAACCCTTATGATGCTGATTCGGAATCCATTTCTGTGTTTCTCGTATGATTGTTTTTGTGTAATTGTGGCATTTTTCTTGATGTTGTCCAGTGGTTTTGTTGTTGTCATTGCCATCATCATGGATCGCTCTTCAATTTTGGTGGAATCATGTAATTTTGTTTTGTATATATTTGCATGCTTCCTTTTTCAACTGCATTTGTTTGTTTATTTTTGCATTTATATCATTTGATGTGTTAAGAGATGTCAATATTTGGCTAATTTGTTGACATTTGAGTTCCCTCAGATTATTGATTAATTTAAAAGCACTATGCTTCTACATTCTGTTGATTTAATCATTTAAATGTTGGTTTCAGCTTATTCTTTGTGCATCTATTTTCTTTCTTGACAACAGGACGGGGCTACATTGATGCACTATGCTGTCCGCATGGCTTCAAGTCGGATGATAAAAATTCTTCTATTGTATAATGTTGATATAAACCTCCAAGACAATGTATTGCCTAATAACTCCTTTCTGCCTTTGTATTTTTCTTACCAAATTCCAGGATTTCACTCTATGTTGTTCTTGTCGTGCTCTTTTCAGGATGGGTGGACACCATTACATCTGGCTGTTCAAACCCGCAGAACAGATATAGTGAAACTTTTGTTAATCAAAGGTGCTGACAAGACATTAAAAAACCTGGTAAACATCTATTGGCCTTTTTGCTAAGTAGGAATAGGACCTGTCTCACAATACGTATACGCTGAGACAGTAGAAACAAAAATAAATTAAGGCACGGGCATGGTGGGAACACAGTTATAATACATGTCTATTCATGTGTGTATATATGAAAAGTAAAATATATATATATATATATTTGAACAAATAAATTTCTATTTACTATATGAAAATTGTGGGTGAGAGGTGTGGTTAGAGGTAGTCCGGGAAGATGGCGGGCACTTCAATGGCTTGGGATCACCGGAGGTGGAGAGGAGGAGGTCAAGGCAAGCTTGGAGAGGGAGAGGTTGGCCGTGATAGACCTTTGAACACTAATGTAAAGTATGAGAGAGGGTGTTTAAGTATAAAACTTGGTTGTATTGTTGTTGTTGTGTCTCGCTGCATATACGATACGTTATATAGGCCGCAGGAGTATTGGAGCCCAAGCAAACTGTTGGACAGGTGGCTCGTTCTCCTCAACTCTGCCAGAAGTGATATCAGCCCTTCTGCCGTCTGTGGCTTGACGGCAGGCGGAGAGCAACGTTTCATGGCAGGTAGAAAGTAACGTTTCGTATATGTATCGGATGACATGAACGTAAGGTCATTATTGCCTCTTCTCCAAGCTTGGTCGAGATGGAGTTGTCTTAGCAAGAAGACAATCATCTCGACGATCCCATGACCTCAACCGTCAGTCCAGTATCCTCTGATGATCCCGAGCAGTAGTGCCTGGGTCCTGCTCCCAACCTAGGCATCCGAGTAGATAAATGGGCCAGGGCTGGCCCACCTTAGTGTTTAAGAGAGCCTGGGCCTCGCCTCCAAGCGACCAAGTAGGAGAATGGGCCGCAGGCTTATCTCGATGTTTAAGAGAGGGGCTCGCTTCTGAGCGACCAAGTAGGAGGTTGGGCCGCAGGCCTATCTCAATGTTTAGGAGAGCCATTGTTTATCAATCCAAGTGCAAGTGAGCCGGGAGCTGATTGTATTGTTGTTTGGCCTTGGAGTGAGGTATGAAAGACCATGGGCCCTGGGGCCATGGTGCTGCCTGTTGCAGGGCTCTTCATATCTAGATATATTTGGGCTTATATGTATGCTCCCGCTTAGGCTAAGCATATAGTCTTGGCTGCCTTGGCACATGACGCCCGTAGGGCTCGCCATGTAGCAAACATACGATATGCCCGACGTGGTGCCTTATTGGTCTGCCACGTGGGTGGGGTTTTGGTGATGTGGCACCTGTAGGGCTTACCACATATTGAGCTTGATACAAGTACCCACAATAATGCCCCCTGTACAGATGCTCTTATAGCTAATGAGAGTATTTGTACATGACTATGTTAAAAAGTTTTGAAAAATATTAACTCATGCAGACAAGTATTCAGATAGAGTCGTTTAAAATTAGGCTTTTGATACAATGGGGGCATTTGGATTGCTCATGGAGAGTTTATATTTTAAATTTCATTCGGTGCGAGCCGGCTGGATAAAGATGTGGGCTTGTTGGGCGATGGCTTGATTCCATGGGATCTCTATTACATCACATGAGATTTCAGCTTCATTCCATAGGCACCAAATTCCGCCCGTTACTCTTTCCATGCCGCTGGGAGGTGGGTTCATGGTCTTGATGTTGGAGTAACCCATGATTTGGCTCATGAACTGGGCCTCGCTTTCCCTTTTTTTTGTGTTTGTGATGATGACGAGGTGGAAGCGTCCGCTAGAATGTAGGTGCATGTAGTGTTGGAGAAAGTTAGGGCGAGCGACGCCCTCAGTGTTGAAGAAGAGGATGTTAAGTGGAATGTTGTAGGAGATGTTTGACTGAGCGTTGTGGGAAGCGCTCTCTTCTCCCATGTTGAGATCTGTAAAGTTCTCTATGTCCCACCCAAGTCCCAAATCTTCATTTGGATTTTCCAATGGTGCTGACATGATGGAGATGTGGTGGTCTAGATCTCTTTCTGTCGGTCTTTGTGAGAGGATATTGATGCGGATCTTCTCGAAATGTGGGATTAATACCTGATTTGCCTGGCAGGTGGATCTTTGGAGAGTGAGGTTGATTTCTTGGTTTCGCAAAAACCAAGTGTAGGACAGTGGTATTGTGTAAAGTTCTGGAATGGTTAGTGCCTTGTACCATCCTCTTATTTTACCCCGGAATTTTTCCTGTACCTCTACGACTGTATGAGCAGATATTGGGTATTGGATCCAAGGGGATTCGAATAGCAGATCTTGGAATTGCCATGGAGGCATGGAAAGCATCTTTCGAAAGAATTCACACACACAGGGCGGCGACGGTGAGTAGGAGTGGAGCTTGAAGCTCTAGAGTTGGAGCTTGAAGCTCTATAGTTTGAGCCTCTTTGGTTTGGAGCTTTGTTCATCGGCCGCCAAATGGTGTTATCTCAGTGCCCCTCTCCTCCGGAAGCCATTTAGAGAGAAGGGGTTGCTAAAGTTGAGAGGAGAATGTTGACGAGTGGATATGAATTTGCCTGTGTTTTTTTTTTTTTTGCTGTCCCGTATTTGCTCTCTTATAAAGATGAGATTGCATGGGGAAAGAGGAGGTGCATTTACCAACTTTTGCAGCTTTACATTGGGAATGGGCGATCCATGAAGAAGACAACTCATAAATTGAAGTTATAGGTTTAGAGCAAACCTATTAATTTTGGAGTTGCTCATAGTATAATGTGATAGCTTGTGTAGCTATAGTAAAGTGACTTTTTGAAGGCTTTAAGGCATTTGCAGTCTATAGCAAAGAGTTCGATTGGTTTAAGGATTCATCTTTGGAAAGGTGCAATCCTGAATGTGTGTATTTATGATTTAATATTTATATATATATATATATGTATAAGAAAATAATAATAAAATATTAGTGATCTATGAGAATGGTGAGCTAACATATGGAGAGTTATGGAATTGTAAAATTCTAACAAATTAATAAAATATTGGTGAGCCATGAAGTTGTTGAGCTAAGAAAATAATAATAAAATATTAGTGATCTATGAGAATGGTGAGCTAACATATGGAGAGTTATGGAATTGTAAAATTCTAACAAATTAATAAAATATTGGTGAGCCATGAAGTTGTTGAGCTAAGAAAATAATAATAAAATATTAGTGATCTATGAGAATGGTGAGCTAACATATGGAGAGTTATGGAATTGTAAAATTCTAACAAATTAATAAAATATTGGTGAGCCATGAAGTTGTTGAGCTAAGAAAATAATAATAAAATATTAGTGATCTATGAGAATGGTGAGCTAACATATGGAGAGTTATGGAATTGTAAAATTCTAACAAATTAATAAAATATTGGTGAGCCATGAAGTTGTTGAGCTAAGAAAATAATAATAAAATATTAGTGATCTATGAGAATGGTGAGCTAACATATGGAGAGTTATGGAATTGTAAAATTCTAACAAATTAATAAAATATTGGTGAGCCATGAAGTTGTTGAGCTAAGAAAATAATAATAAAATATTAGTGATCTATGAGAATGGTGAGCTAACATATGGAGAGTTATGGAATTGTAAAATTCTAACAAATTAATAAAATATTGGTGAGCCATGAATTGGTGAGCTAAGAAAATAGTAATAAAATATTAGTGATCTATGAGAATGGTGAGCTAACATATGGAGAGTTATGGAATTGTAAAATTCTAACAAATTAATAAAATATTGGTGAGCCATGAATTGGTGAGCTAAGAAAATAGTAATAAAATATTAGTGATCTATGAGAATGGTGAGCTAACATATGGAGAGTTATGGAATTGTAAAATTCTAACAAATTAATAAAATATTGGTGAGCCATGAATTGGTGAGCTAAGAAAATAGTAATAAAATATTAGTGATCTATGAGAATGGTGAGCTAACATATGGAGAGTTATGGAATTGTAAAATTCTAACAAATTAATAAAATATTGGTGAGCCATGAATTGGTGAGCTAAGAAAATAGTAATAAAATATTAGTGATCTATGAGAATGGTGAGCTAACATATGGAGAGTTATGGAATTGTAAAATTCTAACAAATTAATAAAATATTGGTGAGCCATGAATTGGTGAGCTAAGAAAATAGTAATAAAATATTAGTGATCTATGAGAATGGTGAGCTAACATATGGAGAGTTATGGAATTGTAAAATTCTAACAAATTAATAAAATATTGGTGAGCCATGAATTGGTGAGCTAAGAAAATAGTAATAAAATATTAGTGATCTATGAGAATGGTGAGCTAACATATGGAGAGTTATGGAATTGTAAAATTCTAACAAATTAATAAAATATTGGTGAGCCATGAATTGGTGAGCTAAGAAAATAGTAATAAAATATTAGTGATCTATGAGAATGGTGAGCTAACATATGGAGAGTTATGGAATTGTAAAATTCTAACAAATTAATAAAATATTGGTGAGCCATGAATTGGTGAGCTAAGAAAATAGTAATAAAATATTAGTGATCTATGAGAATGGTGAGCTAACATATGGAGAGTTATGGAATTGTAAAATTCTAACAAATTAATAAAATATTGGTGAGCCATGAATTGGTGAGCTAAGAAAATAGTAATAAAATATTAGTGATCTATGAGAATGGTGAGCTAACATATGGAGAGTTATGGAATTGTAAAATTCTAACAAATTAATAAAATATTGGTGAGCCATGAATTGGTGAGCTAAGAAAATAGTAATAAAATATTAGTGATCTATGAGAATGGTGAGCTAACATATGGAGAGTTATGGAATTGTAAAATTCTAACAAATTAATAAAATATTGGTGAGCCATGAATTGGTGAGCTAAGAAAATAGTAATAAAATATTAGTGATCTATGAGAATGGTGAGCTAACATATGGAGAGTTATGGAATTGTAAAATTCTAACAAATTAATAAAATATTGGTGAGCCATGAATTGGTGAGCTAAGAAAATAGTAATAAAATATTAGTGATCTATGAGAATGGTGAGCTAACATATGGAGAGTTATGGAATTGTAAAATTCTAACAAATTAATAAAATATTGGT